GCTCCTTGGCCCGCTCCTGCCGCCGCCGCCGCTTCTCCTCCCGCTCCCGCTGGCGCTCCTGGGCTGTCACTGGCTTCCGAGGCTCAGGGGCCTCCAGGGGGGCACTGGGGCCGTCTGTGGGGAAGATGGGCAGGGGGGAAGGTAAGGGTCCTGTCCCAGCCAGGATCCCCCTCCGCCCCCGCTCCCCAGCCAGCCGCTGCCTCTGCCAGGCACCTCGGAGTCGGCTCCGCAAAGACTTGAGCAGGGCGGCCTTGAGGGCCGCCTTGGTGTTGTCTGAGATGGCCCCCTCCCTCTTGGGAGGGGCTGGTTCACTGGCTGGTGGGGGTGGCTGCAGGGTCAGATCAAAGGTGTCAGGCGCAGGCCCAGGGTGAGGTGGTGGAGCTGGCGGTGGGGACTCCATGGCGCAGTCCCCACTGGGAGCCCAAGGACTGGGCATCTCAACGTCGGGGCAGCTAGGCTCACTGGCCACAGGCTGCAGGGAAGGCTGGAAGCGGATCTGCTGGCGGATGCCCTCACGCCGCGTGTGGAAGTCCTCGATCTCTGCCACGATGGCCTCCTTAATACGCTCCCGGGTCAGGGCTTCACGGTCAAAGGCAAAGTCAAAGGGTGGCGCACAGTCAGGCTCATCATCAGGGTCATGGTACTTGGCCAGGAAGGGGTGGCGCAGGGCGGCAGCGGCAGAGATGCGGGCACTGGGCTCAAAACGCAGCATGCGCCCCAGCAGGGAGAGGGCCTGGCGGTCAGCACCCGGGTACACTGTCTCCCAGGGCACGGGCTGGCGTGGCGGCAGGCTCTGGATATAGGCCCGCACCCTCTCAGCCCCGACAGCCTGGATCACGGCTGGCGACGGGGTGCCCAGCACCGTCATGATCAGCTGCAACTGGTGCACGTAGTTTTTGCCTGGGAAGAGCTGGCGCCGGGCTAGCATCTCACCAAAGATGCAGCCCACAGACCACAGGTCGATGGCCTGCGTGTACTCGTGCAACGAGAGCATGAGCTCAGGGGCGCGGTACCAGCGTGTGGCCACGTACTCGGTCATGAAGTACTGGTGGTCGGCAGGCGAGGCGCACAGGCCGCGGGCCATGCCAAAGTCCCCGATCTTGAGCTCACAGTTCTCGTTCACCAGCAGGTTGGAGGGCTTGAGGTCCCGGTGGATGACCTGAGCCGAGTGCATGTACTTGAGGCCTCGCAGCAGCTGGTACAGAAAGTAGCGCACGTGCTCCAGCGTCAGCGGCTGTGACGAGTGGATGATCTGGTGCAGGTCGCTCTCCATCAGGTCCAGGACCACGTAGCTAAAGGGGCAGGGGAGACAGGCAAGAGCTGACTTGGCCACACTCCGGCCCCATCCTCACTACACCCTCCCTCCCAGCTCCACAGTTCACAGCCTTACTCTCAGGATCTGGAGGGGCCACCACGTGGCACAAAGGTTCTAAATTCTCTACAACTCTTCCATGAACTTAAGTGAAGTGGGATCACTTTCCCTCCAGACCTAGTTTCAGCATCACAGCAGAGAGGGGGCTGGACTAAACCAGGGTTGGCCAATAGATTTAGTTCAGGGGCCCCCTCCGTTGTTTGGTAGTGGCTGCTTGGATGGCTATGGGCAATCTGTAGAGGTTTGTCCATTTTCTACACAGAAGTGTTCCTAGGTTGATCAGTGATGTCTGCTATGGAGTAGGAAAGCAGATGCAGGACGAATATCCTACGTTTACCAGCCTGTGTACTGAGATCCTGTACACTTCTTATGTCTATTCATCTCTTGGGAAATCACAAGTGCCACTGGGAAAGCCCTACGGGAGCACTGGTACTGGAATCGAGGGGATTTTCCCAGTCTGCCTCACGTTAGGTTCAGCTGCCCTCCTGGAGCTTCAGCAAGATGGTCCCTACCTCCCATAGAGGCCCCAGCTCTGCCTCCCTCTCCCGTGCCCACTCCTTACACAGACTTGAACTCGCCATAGGGCACGGTGGGCCTCAGGATGTCTTTGATGGCGATGATGTTGTCGTGCTTGAAGTGTTTGAGGATCTTCAGCTCCCTGAGGGTCCGCTTGGCATTGGTCACCACATCAAAAGCATTGGGGATCTTCTTAATGGCCACCTGCTGGCCTGGGGATTAGGGAAAAGGCAGATACCATAAGGTACCTTGATGCAGCTGCAGAGGGGCACAAGGCCGCTTTCAACCGCTCCTGGCTAGAATGCAAACGACCACAGTTCTTGTATACTGAGTGTGTACCATGTGCCAAGTCCAGTGCTAAGCACACTTCCCCCTCACCTCTACTGCAAGGCAGGTACTCACAGCCCAGTCAGAGATGTGAAGACCTAAGCTCGGTAACCTGCCGGGCGTTGCACAGCTAGTTAGTAGGAATCTGTACTCTAATGCTGGCGCTCCCTCTACCTCCCTGCACCCTCTCCTTTCCAGACCCCGCCCACCCCACCACCAATCCCTTGGCCAGTCTCTGGCCCAGAAACACATTCTGGGGAAGCTCCATTCTTGACTAACTGGGGTTGTCATCTTTCTAAGGAGAAAGTAGGCTGCCACCACGCCAGAGTTTCAGAACCTGTGCCCAAGACACAGGCCGCCACCCAGACGGCCCCTGACCAGCATGTGCTGACTTGAGCCAGAGTTCACATCCAGCCTTCCCCGCCGGCTGTCTGAGACGGGGCGGGCCTCACTCCCCGGGAGCCGGTTTCCACGCTCACCGGTGAGGCGGCGGCGCGCGGAGGACACCACCCCGTAGGCCCCGTTGCCTATGGTCTCGATGATCTCGTACTCGTCCCCCACGTCGAAGGTCACGTCGAAGGAGCGGGCCTTCAGCAAGGCCAGGTTCTTGGCCGCCACGGAGGCGGCGGTGACGGCGGGCTCCGCCTTCA